GAAAATGATGTAAGTTGGATAGATTTACTAATATCATTATGAGTTTGAAAAAACAAAATAACATTTGGCCTATTCTTAGATCCTAATATTAGGTAATGTATGGAGCAGACTTTCTATTTTAATCAAGGAGGCATATTTGTGCATTTCCTTAACTAAGAGGCTTTTTATGTATTTAACAACAAAGCCGGTTTAAAGTAAATATAAACCTAATCAGTTCTAAATAAATTAAAACTGACCTAATTAAGTTCAGTAATTTCAGTCATTGACATTATACAATAAAGTGCGTTAAATTTCTTGCCTGCGGCTCAGTTTGTTGATGTCAGGTCTTAAATCCCTTCTAACCTACAAGTGCAAGCGCCTTCAAAGTAAGTATTCTAGCAAAAAGTGTGCGTGTATCAATGAAAAATGAAATGTATGTGCATGTGAGTCTATATTTAATATATATCTCATGCACCCTTACAGAACCTAACCTGTTTGGTGCAATTGAATAAATGAAACTGACAAATGCGTTGAAAAGGATAAGGGCCTAGGTAAATAATAAAGGAAACATGACTTTCTCTAGAATAACTTTGCAGCAGTAAGGTTGATGAAACGTAAAAATACATCATTTAACTTGATATTAGTCAAGAAATCAACTGAGTGGTCTTTTTTATATTATTCTAACAGAGCCGGCATTTAATACTTAAAAAGGTGCTTGAGATGTAAGAAACAGTTGCTATTTTCTATCCTATTGGAAAAACCCCCTTTACAGCAAATTAGTCTTTTGCATGTTTGACTGACTGACTTTTCTTAACCTAGCAATATTTGTCAAAGACAAAACATATGCAAATTAAACCTAGCTTTTGATCAAGGAGTCTTGATAGCCTGTTTATTCACAGGTACAAAGTTTAAATAGCAAGTTCATTATTGCAAATGATACCGGGCTAATCGAGTAAGGATTTTTATATTTTGTTTGCAATACCGACTTTCTGGGCTACAAAGTCAGGCATGAATCTATCATGACATTCTTCGATTTAGCATTTCCTTAAACTCCTTATTATACTTTCTGCGAAAACGCTTTCATCTTTTCCATTACAATGCTCGTTATTATGCTATTACTTAAGGGCAAATGCAAATTATTTACGGATGTAGCCTTTAAGCAAAAGCTATTGAAGATGGATAATGATTGCACAACTTTTGTCAAAAAATGTAAGTATAAAATTTTCTAAATTTGATTACTTTGTTCTTGCATATATGTATATATATGTATATTGCACTTTTCTATGCATAATTATTTTATTACTACCACCCTGACACTTGTTCTGCCTTGAACTTCTTTCGGGAATCCTTACTTTGGATTTGTATGTCCTTTCTTTCTCATTTATCGTGAGCATGTAAATGTTATTCTGTAGTAAATGTTGTAATAAAATTTCCCACACTAAGATCGCAAGTTGCTGGAAAAAACTAAATCTTATAACAAATTAGCTACGTGTTCCACGGATTCTGTTATGGCTAGCAGCGTTCGTTGCTCGGACTCGCAAAAGAGCCTAATGGCTTGGCATCCAGATAAACCTGTGGAATCGGGGACGTTTGCTTGTGACGAGTAAATAGGGTAAGGTACTAATAAACATGTATAGGTATGGCTGTGGATGATAGAACATGCGCAACTGACTAACATATTGATACAGTTTTGGCAGTCTTCTAGGTACAGGGAGTAAAGAAGCCCAAGATATTCAACTGACTTGTGTTAGACTACGCTCTCTACACTAAGCCCTCTCCCAGGTTTCAGAGGAGAGCCTATCTGACAATCCGTGGGTGGCGCCCTTCCTTCCGATGTGGTATGAGGAGGGGCGTTTTAAAAGTCGTCCTCTCCAAATCGCAAGTGCAGTGTTTCTTTGGCAACCAATCATCCGTAAATGGCTGACTATGGGAAAGGGGGCTTATAGTCTTGATCGTGGAGGAGATTAATGGAGGCAGTAAGCTTGAGAAAAAAGGTGGAGGTGAGGTAGGCAGACAGGGAAGGAGACTGGCAGTCAAGCGAGTGGCAGTGAGTCAAAAAACTGAGGGTTACCTGGACTGGTACGGAGGCTGAGAACTAGGGAGCAGGAGTGTGGGGTGGATAGGTATAAAACTAGAGCTGTAGAGGGATGCAAAATGGTAAAAAGGAGAGGAAGCAAGAAAGATATCAGGAGAAACGGCTTTTTGGAAAGCTGAGAACTAAAAGTGTAGACGTGTGCACTGGTCTAGTCTGCATTCCTCCACTCACAATTTTGGCCCATATCTCTAAAGCTGTTTTTTGTGTCCGCAATCTAGAAACGTACTCCAGCTCGTTTTATTTAGTAGATGTAAGCATGCTCGTGGTTTTATTGCTGTAATCCTAAAAAAACCGGGTTACACGTGGTTCTTCCGAATATGATGTTTGGCACTGTCTTTGGATTGCAAGAAAGTAATTGGATCAGCTGCGCCCAGAGATGTACAATTAATCTACCAGTTGGCTGTGTACTTCGCCAAGACAAATGCACCACCAGTAATAAGTGGTGTTGTCAGTGGTACAAGTCTAGGTCTAGCAGAGGGGATGGGAGAGGAGAGGAGGTGGTCTTAATAATGCAAGTGGGGATGGTTGTGCCGACGGTAGTGGTTGTGGTGGTTGGGTCAATGACAAAAAGTGAAAAGTGGGCTTTTTGCTGGTTTAGGTAGTTTTAGTGCCTTTTGTGCTCTCACTGGAAGGCGTCAGGTAAGGTGCGGTATTTTCCTTTAGGGGGGTTGATGGTGATTGAATGTGAGTAGATGAAAGTGTCGCCAGAGCCGAATGGGTGCAGAGGAAACCTGACTAGCGTTAATGCTTTTTGAACCCTATTGGGTTGAGTCAAGGTACTTAAGTGTTCTTGATGCCTATGAGATCTGTGCTGACCATGACTGCCAACTCGAAGGTCGCTTTGACTGTGCTACTTCATAATTTGTGGTATTAATGCAAGTGGATGTCTTAGAGCTGCACACGGACCAAATGTATACGCACATGCATGGAGATGTGAGAACATAGAAGCGGTGGTGTTGTACAATTGGTATTGAGAAGGGCAAGGGAGGCAGACGAGGAGAAATTGAAAGGTTACAATGCAACCGAAGGAAAAGCCTAAGTTACTCGCCAGCCCATCCCTTCGCAATAAGCCTTGGTGTCATGTAATAACTCAAAAACACTCCTTTTTTAATGTACCCAAATGTACTCACAGACTATTACCCTCAACACATTTCATGTTGTTGACTCAGAAGCAGCTCATGAAATTGGTCTTCACACTCCCTCGAAGACAATGAGCAAACGACAAAAGTCAGTACTACACACTGAATTAAAGCTATTGCCACCTATCAATGACAAAGTAATACATCACAAGAGAAGCATTATCGAGATGGATAAATGTACTAATGGACAAGTCCTTGTCTGCTCCTTCCATTACAAGCATCTAGCTTAACTTGTTTTACATCAGCAATCGAGTGCCACAGAAGGGTAGGTTGCAGTAGCAAAAGCATGTGGTATGCATGTGGCAACCCCATCCTCTCATCTCAGCCCAAGAATACACTAGCCGCCATCAACTCGCAGATGGTAAAGAGCAAACACCTACCACCTTGAAATCAAGCATTTACGTTACAGCTTGGCGAGAATCACACCTTCACCCTCTCATATTTCTTGGATTTCTCAACTCTACTACATTTAAGTCCCACCAGTCAATGTCTCTATAGCTAATCCCTTGCACCGCCTTAAAGTATGTGGCCTTTTTCAAGCTTTTATAACCAACGGACTACTAAGACCAAAAATTGAGCTAATTGATTGCAGTACTGTTGACGAATACACGTGAATCAGCACAAGCAGCTTTCCTTCCACTGGCCGATATTTAACTTCCACCTATCCGCCACCATTTGGTGTTAAAAATGCGGTAAAATGTTAGCAAAATTGTAACATCCATTTGCTTTGAAGAGTTAGAAATTCAGGTTTACTACTGGATCCCCATAATAATATTTTTGATTCCATCGTGCAGAATGTGTATCACCTTCCCACTTTGAGAAAACTTGTTAGTAGCTTTCATTTAAAACACACTGGCTAAAACAACAAAATAAGTAAACTTTTATAAAAGAGCTACTTAAAGGGTTTTGAAGCTTAATTCACGACTAGGATTCAACGCACACTATTTAAACAAACTCAAAAGCCTATATTTGCAGGAAATGGGCACACTGTGGCTGCAGTTTTATTAGGCTGGAAAATACTTTTTGAAATTGTGCTAATAATGAGGCTGTTATAAGTAGTGGTCTGTTTTTTAACGTAATTTATTGTATCAAGGGGTGATTGCAATGACGCTTATTTTCCTTCTGCTGTAAAATGATGTAAAATTATAGTAATTACTGACTGCTCACTTAGACTTGTGAGTGTAAAAAATTCAGACAGATTCATATTCAGGCACATACAGAGGCGAAAAATGCCGGTAACACCCTTCTGTGCGAATGACCACGGTGAGGTTTCTTCCGCAAAAAGTGCAATTGAGCATGCATTGCACTACTAACTTTAACCAAAACCGGCCCAATGGTATAGGCATTTCTACTGATAAAATTGGTAGTAGCACACAAGTGGAGTGTGGAGTGTGTAGCCTCTCTGATTGCGCTTTAAGTGCCAACGCAAAAATCAATTGGTAAAAGCATAAAACTGGAAGCAGCAATGAAACACCTCTAGCAAATGCTAAGCAAACGCCTTAACTGCGCAGAAAAAGCAAATTAAGTACTGTTATCAATGTGTGCAAAACCAGTAATGGGTGTACATTCAGGTATGAGAGGAAGTGGGCAATTTGCAGTTATTTTAGCTAAGCACAAGCGAAGATATCGGAACTGCAAAGCAGAGCCATGAAGTAACCCTTAGTATGCACTCCGTACTCATCCAACAAATGCAAAACGCTATGGGAGATGCTTTTGAAGCTTGCAGATTTGCTAATACAAAGATCATTCACAGGGAAAGAACGCAAGGGAAATGCATTTGGAATATTAGGAGTCGGCACATGCATGAGAATCGGAATGTGTTGAGGAAGCTGAATTCGTCACCGTTGATTTGCCCTCCTCTGCTTTGGGTGCACCTTCGTTCACTTCTGATCCCTCATCAGATTTTACACGTTTCCATCGGTCATCCTGCATTAACACAGCATAGTCAGCTTCTTCATGAACTGGAGTGAAGTTTCGCGCTCTCGATGTCTCCTCTTCCATTTCACACAGTTAGGATAAATTTCACTTGTCTGCGAAAGGCAAATCAAACAATGCTAGCTGTTACACCAAATTTTCACCAAATGCTGTATTTGCATTTTGGATATAGAGGGCAGCACATTCCGCCCTTGAAGCTATGAACAGATATTTATGTAAGTGATGCATTCCTTAAAATGTGCATGATAGCCACGTGCTGCAGGAAAAGATGATATGCAAGGATGCGCGAAAATAAAGAGAGTAATAAGGGAAATGAAATGTAGTTTTAACAACTCTGTGGTGAAAATTGAAAATTGACTCGCTTTGATCACTGGCCGCTGTTGAGGCACAATGTCCCGTTCCCTGTCTTATATAGACACCTTAACTATGCTTCCATTGGTTAGCTATTATTAGACTCGCGATAAGTAAACTTCAAAACCACCGAAATATAGTAGCTGCCGTGCGATGCATTGACTTCCTCACGACTAGCTATTTTTAGACGCGTGAATAGTGAACAGTGAAACTGTGAATAATTGGCGACCGAAATTTCATCCATTAGCTTTATCACAAATAGCTATTATTTGATCAGTGGGAAAAATGTCAAAACGGAGGAAAATGTGAAACCAAACCGCAATCAATCTACATTCTGGGTACTGGATAAGGGAAACCTTTGGTGCAATGTCACCAGAAATGTCAATTTGCTTTCCATAAAGATTAGAATTTCTGTTTCCGATTTGTCCCGCACATATCTGCAATTCCCTTTCTTCAACATATTTTTGAATCGTAATCCATGCAAGCTCAAACTGTGTGTCTGATGGCGGTTAGGCTTGTATATCGTGTTACATAATAACAGGAAGGTTACACACGCTATTTAGATAGAAACGTACCAGAATAGTTAGAATCGCCTTTTGTCTGGAGCATAGTTTGAAAGCGATAAGACAAAAATGTACGTTGCCGAATGCACTGACACATTCCAGAGAACCCTGTGCAAGCTAATTTGTGTAATAGCAGCAGTGCCAACCCAAAATTTGATTGGCCTCTTTACGATGCACCGTCATTCTTCCCCGGTTTTTACCAGAGCACGATATTCCCATTGCAAAGAGCAGCATTCTCCCCTTTTCTTCAGAAACAGCAACCACTGACGTAGGATACTTGTGGATTTGTACCGACATGCTTTCCTTCTATCCTCACACCTTGGCAATTTAGACGTGACAAATTGGACTGGGTTTTCGCTTCCTCTGTCGCTGTGAGATAAACCACGTTAACCTAAGGTCATCACTTACTGAGCACACTTCTAATTTGATTTTAAATATTAAGTAGTGTGACTGGAAGTAGCCATGCAAATTGGATCGATTTAGTCTGGTCTCTGTCTGCTACGGGTCGACCGCAGATCTCCTGCCACCTGCATTAACCGCAGCATTGTAAGCGACGATAAGCCGACCAACCTCTCCTGCAACACTATCCGTGTGCGGACAGCTGCACACATTACCAGGCTGGTATGTAAATAAAAACAAAACACTCTGATCAATTTGGCACAAAAACAAAAGACATTATTTTAGTTTCACATGAACACTGATTTCATTACAATAATTTAAAATTAATAGAAATCCCACTTTTGTAGCATTAGGGCATATAAATGGTTCTAGTTTGATCACATTTATGCAACACTAGAAGAGTCGGAGTTGTAGCTTAGAGATGGAAAGTAATATAGACTAGACGAAAATTTAACGAAATAAGTGCATTCTTCGAAAAAAAACACTCTCAATTCATTAATTTTATAATATTTGCTGTAACTGTTCAATGGCAGGAAATTTGTAGGCCTAAATGCGATCAAAACGGTTCTCGAATCTTCGGTCATTGTTTTCAAATGCACGAGAACCAAAATAAAAAGCGGTAGTAAATCCAAAACCGTAAATAGACGAGGTCTTTTTAAAATCCAATTTGCAGTTACAAGTGGGTGGACATGCGCAAAGGCGGCGAAGAAAGTAGACACTTCTAGACCAGCCATCATTTGGATTTTATTTAAATTTGAACATCACTGCCTCCTATGTTAACAGGCAACTCTGGCACATTTGGTTTTGTTGCGGCACCTACAATAAGCCCTTGCGCTTTAATAATGCATCAGTTACCCCAATTTTGTGTCAAAGTTATTCGCAGATGACACGGAGAACCAATGCTAGCGAAGTCGAGGATTAATCACTGAAGGAAACAATGCCAAGATGAACACTTGCTTAATTCTGCACTTCGCTGTCTCTTTTCCGACATTGGTATTTTATGCCCCTTCCTCATGGCATGAACTTATAAATCTCATTAATCTTGGGCATGTGAGTAAGCCTGGATGCTGTCAAGTGGTCAGCCTGAATGAATATGGATATTGCTGACTTGTATCGGCAAACGGGACGTACTGCGTCAGTGTCCGTAGCGACCAAATAACTACCAAATACGTAGGGATCCAATTCCATGTCTTTATAACGGAATAAGGACATCATTATTGGGGCAATTCAAAACTCTGAGGAATCAGACAGGAGTATGGTTATGCCATTCTACTGCTTTTTGCACTATTTGCAATAAAATGCGATTCCGTGTCCACTTCCAGCAGCTTGCTGCATGTAGTTGTATGGAGTTCGTTATTCACCATCAGAAATGAGTGACTTTGCATCCCTGCTTTGAGTCGCCCCCATCCTCGCCAAAGTCGGGCCGAATGAGATCAAGGTTGATCGAGGGCAGAGCTCTCACTTGATTCTTTTCTTCCCACATATATATACGGTCAAAAAAGCCAACAAGCGGCACTCATTAACTTAGTAAAAACACATTCTACAGACACATTAATGCTTTTAAATCTTTATAAAACTGTAGCAATTACAGGACCTTAAGAGCTGAAGCAAGGCATTTGTATTTGCTTTGTAGTTAAGAGTTTTTAAAACACGTCCAATGGAAAAATCACTGATGCGCCAAGGTGTTGCTCTGTAGCCAATTTTAACTTCGACGGTTTTATTCATTTGATCTGTGTACGCATTCACTTATAAGTTTTGGATGCTGGGCCTCCGTTCTGACACCGTTGTGTTTTCCACATTCCTTCTCTCTATATTGCGCTAAAAGTCGCCATTCCTGATGGATTAGTAGATGCATTCGCATCCACCTATTCACCCATTCCTCATTGTCTTGCCATTTCAAAGCCATCCCTTGACTTCCATGCATTTGTGTGCATCGAGCAAGAGGTTAAACCATCTCCATAGAACACGACTCAATGTCGATTCAGCATTTAAAGTGTAAAAGATGGAAGAATAGAAAGTGGATTTTACCTCAAATAATGTTGATGTAGGCAATATGCATTGTCAAGTGTAAGTGGGTGCTTATCTGCTTTCGGTTGATTGCTCAGTCATTAGTGGGTCCAAAGGTCACAAATTCTTGTGACGACTTTTCCTGGAGGCATGTGTACATTCGTCCATTCTCCCCTCCTTTTATCCTTCTATTTAGAGCCTCGAAGTTAGAGGAAGGTTATCAGACGATGGCATCACTAAAAACTGTAATCTTCCTGCGAGCATAGTGGAAATAGTTCAGTGTTCAAATATGCTCCTAACAGCGTGGCAATTACATGCCAAATATTGCTGTGGGTAATAATACAGGACTTTGTACCCACAATCAGTAGCGATCTTTGCAGTTGAGATACCCTGTGCATGCATGCGTGCGTGTGTGTCGAAATGGATCAGAGCCCTGACCCCAAATTTATCCTAGTTGAAAGTTCCTTGTTGAGCAGCACACTACTGATTGTTATTAAGTAAAAGCTGTGGCCAGGGTGAAAACTAAAGGAAATT